TCTCACCCATCGCCAACTCCCCCCCCCCTCTACCCCTTCCCCCATATTGTTCAAGATTGCCGTTAGAATCTGAATTGTTATTCATTTTTACCGCGGATTGTTAATCGCGAGGTGCCGGGATTGGGATAACTAATGAAACACCAATTGAAGAATACAATATTTAAGTGCATAACTCAAATTGTATACACTTTAGGTGAAAAAACGATGTTTCAGGAATCGTTACATCTCAAGAACAGCTTAACTGATCGAGCTGAAACTTGGTACAAACTTAAGTCTCAGTAGTACCTGCTTGAAACCAGGTTTTCAGCGTCTTTGCAACAGTTATTTTTGAGTTGAGCACATACAATATTTCTTGAAAACGTCATTTCTTTAAGTTTTATGACATTTGTAGGCAGTTTACGTTAAAAATTAGGAAATCAAAAAAGTCATGATTACGAAACTTCCATTTAATAGGCAAAGCAGTGAAGTTGAAGCTAAAAATCTGGAATTTTGTCCCACAATTGGTATTGTTAGGCTTCACTCCTGTCCCAGCTTAGAGGTCAATCGGTTATGTCGTTTTTAAAATATTGTGACAGGATAATCGATTACCCGGTCATCACACTCCATTAAATAATTAAAATGTCGAAGTGAATTGTAAAATCAAATTTAATTCAAAAGATAAATTAATTCAAAATAGATAGATTAATTCAAAAGAAATTCAAATTCAAACGGCGAAATTCAAATTCAAAGAGTCGAAAGATTAAACACGCAGATGCCAAATTATCGATCCGTCCAATGGTCGTGGTGGGGAGACTGGCCCCAAAGCAACAAGTACGAACATCCACGCGAAACTTGTGATATATTTCTTGGAATGTATTGCGTCTTTTGTCCGCTGCGATCACTTTTGTCAAATTAATTATTTAATAATTGGAATTTATTATTATTATCATTTTTGTGTGTTCCTGTTCAACTGATAAATACGACAAAACAAAATTATTGTAAAAGCTGTAAGTAATCCTAAATTTTCTGTCAATAATATATTTTGTTTTCAAATCAATTTCTTTATTCTTTCATTGGGTTGTCCCAATCGAACCTCTCATCTTTCATTCATCATTTATTTTCGCATTGTTTATCATTTGCTGCTTTGTCGAAAAAATCAGCTGGCGCCCGATATTTAACACCATTTATTTATCAATTTTGTCGTATTATTGCTTCATGAGCCCTGACAGCCGTCAGACCCCAGCCGCGTCGGGTGTGAATTCTTTCCACTTTAATTTTCCTTTATAATATTTTGTCGATTATCTATATTTCCAAATTAATTTATTCATTGTCGAAAGCATTCTGTCGCATAGCACCCAGAATTGTGTCCAAGTGTATTATTTTTTTAGTATTGCTAGCATCAGTATTTTTTAAAGTAAATTTCGAAAATTTTGTTCGTGAATTCAATTCTCCATAGAATAAAATATCTTAACAAATTACTTCAATTCGTCTTGGTTCCAAAACCTGCGCAAAGTATTTAGTTCGTCATGCGGGAATTCCAATGGTAAATTTTGAATTTATAATAATTTTAAAAGAACAGGAGAAAAAACAGGTTAGAAGCATCTTCCTTACCGTAAATCCTCTGGAATTGGTTTCATCAAAAGTAGACCTAGCTCTCGCTTCATTTCTGGTTTCCTTGAGTATTTCGAATCTAGGAGGTTTAATATAAATTATGTAAGGTTTCAACTGCGGTGATCTGAGCATTTTAAGAGCCTGATAGTGAGGATTGAGAATAGCGATGAAGCCAGCGTTGACTAGAGAAATGACTGTGTCTGCTTTTGTGCCGTAAAAGTTTCCTTTGTACTCTCCATATTCGATGAACTTTCCCGTCTCAATATCCTCATCCATTTTCTCACGAGCGCAGAAATGGTATTCTTTGCCGTCTTCTTCCCCAGGTCGTGGTGATCTTGATGTATCTAAAATATTAGAATAATGTACTTTCATTAAATAACTAATATACAATATAAGATTATAAACGGAACGGATTGTAAATACGCAGGCGACCGCAAGGCCACTGCAGAAGTTCTACTCAATGTTGCATGAATTTTTTTACGCCATCAATACATTAATGCCGGGCGCATAATTCAGTTCTGTTTTTACTTCCGAATGTAAGCATTGTATTCTGTAATATCCAAATTTCCAGTTTTTTGTGTTAGGATAACTAATTTTAATAACATTAGTCAAAACTATAGTTCATAAAATTCAAAACTAATGTTTATGAGGGTCGAAACGACGGGTGATGAGAACGGATAGGAAAAGCGCTGAATAGAAACTGTCTGGGGACCTGTAGCGGAAACAAAAGTCAGTGTGAAGTGAAAATGCCATATTTTTCAATTGTCGATGAATATAGTGTGATTATTCATTGAAATAAACATTCGTTGAAATAATTGTCGACGTTAATTTGATTCTAATCGATTTTCGGCTTGAATCAGACCGTGTGACTCGGACTAGGCCAATCCGAATTCCGTGTCTGATATAAGTCGAAAATTGGTTTACTTCAAGTAGAAACCGACATCGGTCCGAATTAAGCCGAATAATCAGTTTGAATCAAACTGAAAAATCCACTTGAATCAAACCGAAAAATCGGTTTGAATCAAACCGAAAAATTCACTTGAATCAAATCGAAAAATCGGCTTGAATCAAACCGACAAATCGGTTTAAATCAAACCGAACAATCGACCTGAATCAAACAGGAGTCGGTCTGAATCAAGTCGAAAAATCGACTTGAATCAGACTGATGTTCTGGTTTGCATCTGTCCGAGTCCGACTTGATCCATGCCGTCAATTTGACATGAAACAAGTCGATTCCCGGCATGATTCAGTCCGACTTAATTCAGACCAGTTTTCCGGTCTAACTCAGACCGACTTTTTCGGGGTGTAGATTTAAAAAAACTGAAGGTTAGAAACCACAGTTTCTCAAATTTAGAAACTCTTTTCTAAAGCTAATCCACTGTTTTTCTCTGTGAATAACGAATTATTCAAATAAATAATCTCCCAGACAAGAAATTAAGGATTGATACTTCTCTTCCAGCAGGCTTTGGTTTCATAGAATTTCGACGACAAAAATTTAAGTGTGCAAAATATATTTGTATGCAATGTACACTACATGAATTTTTTATTTGGGAAGAATTCCATGGAAATTTTAATGAATTTTGTTATTGAGAATTTTCGATTCGACGAAAATGAAAAAGGGGTCGAGCCTATTCTACAGAATGCATGTGACCATTCCTTCTTGCGTTATTAGTGTTTTTCTTTCCTGTATTTCTACTAATATCATTTTTAGTAAGCTTCCGAATGGATCCGAAAAAATTCCCTGCCCCTCTGTAACGGTTACACAATCGTTACAATATTCTACCGGGTCTCTATAGAGAAATATTCAACTTTTTGATTAAATAAATCCATACAAATAGTTAAATATCTCCGATCGGCTGATTGGGCCCATCCAAAATGCCAACCTTCAATGTTATACATAATATTGAAGGTTCGCATTTTGGATACGCGCAATTAATCACGTGATCACGGAAATATTTAACCTTTTGATAAAAAAAAACATTGATACAAATACGCTTCCCTCCTGCCACAGGGACAGGATGTATAATATACATCGACACCATTTCACATTCTAGAGAATAGTATATTTTTAATCTAGAGAGGTCAAACAAATAAGTCGAGCCCGTGTGCGGAATTACCGCTTGAGGCGAGAGTGGTAAGCACGTGGGTAAGCGTCCTTTATTTTACCTCCCGGGGTTAGGACCGTATTTTTCGTCCTGCGCGAAGCCGGAGGGGGATGCGTACTTTGCCTGAATGAAAAAGATATTGTTTTCGAATCAGCAGACAGTTTTTTTTGTGACATTGTTGATATCTACAAATTGGTCCAGATCTTATATATTGGTACAGAGCTTATTACCTATGGAATTGGTAGAAATGAAAAAAAGAAAGAATTAATACATAAAGCAACAGTCAAATAGCTTGTACCAAAAAGGCTCGAACCCCTGCTTGTTTTGTGAAAATTCATTTAAGAAATCCGACAAATCGGAATACACATGGGACATTCCATGTTAACTCAGCCACAGCGGATTTTTTTTTTGTCTGGGAAAAATCATTGAGTAGGTGCATTTTGAACTACTACATATAGCCAGTGATCACGCCATATTTCATTGCCCTGCCACTTTTTGTTTCTGAGATAATCATTACGAAACTTGAAATTTTCAAAAACTCATTACTTCTGAATGGAGCATCCGATTTTGATAAACAAAAAAAAAATTTTCATTTTTTCCCGTACTTCAAGATAAAAAATACTTCAGAGCCGTCAAGAAGCTCCTAGACCGATTTTTTGAGAATTCATGGCGTTTTCATTTTTTTTCACTCTAGGGCCGCTCGATATTCAATCGAAATATTTCTTTTATGATAGAGAATGTCCTTATATGATATGAAAAAAATACGCCATAATGGAAGAGCGAAGCAATGCACCGGAGAAAAATTTTTTTTTGCCTGAAAAAAAACATTTTTATTCTTCTATAACGACAACATTTTATATTTTCACATTTTTACATTTTTACAATACGGAGAAATTCTCCACTCTCTTCGACGACAAGTTCCAACATGCACTGATGAATTATTTACATCACGATTACTGTCTTCTGCGGGTTTTTCGTTTTGTTGTTGTTTATGTTTGCTTTGGGAAAACCTCCTCGTTAGTGTTTTTGAATGGCTGGAATAGCTCTGGCACTATGAAATCTCTCTCTCAACTCAGTTTTGATATTCTCGTGTGCTGCTTTGGTGAAAAAAAAAATCATCAATTCCTTCAAAATTCTCTTTTGACCATCGAAACAAAGCATCTGGCGTGAGGATTGGTTCACCATGAACGATTTGCAAGCTCTTACATCTCGCTTCTCTCTTAAAGACAGCTCCTACTCCGTCACAAGCTCCTTTACCGTGTGCGGTTGCATGAAAATGGGCTTCCACATCTATGCCAACATCAGTCTTATGATGCAAGAGATTCGTGATCTGAAAACGATTCTTGTAATGTTGTGCAGCTCCATCGGTGACAGGAATAATTTTCTCCACGCTTTCACAGTTGTCTTTCACATGCTGTATTAAAATCTTCTGTATCAAATAAACAGCGGTAGTATCGTGAGTCGTACTGTCCGACAAAACGACTAAACTCCGATGTTGGATTTCATTTTTTTCGCGATAGTAGTAAACAACGGGGTGAACTGTACACTGGTCATTATTGTAGTGGAAGGATTGAGCAGCATCTTGAGCCACAAAAGCGTAATTTTCCGAAAAATCACAATGCACTAGTACTTCTCCATTATCCAAATTCTCTTTTCGCTGTTTGACAAAAGCCGATTGTTCTTTAGCGATGAAGTGATGGGGCTTCAATACTATCAATTGTTCCATTAGAAGATCAATGAATCCATCCATCGGGAGGGTCTGTGTCTGCAAGGTACACCTGTCAGTACTTTACCACACGCAAAATTCGACCATTTCCACGACAGAATCAAAGAGAACTTTCTTCAGTTCACATGATAATGATTTCACTCCAGGACAATCGTTACATTCACCCACATGACAGGCCGGGGTTGGATTTGTACACATCAATTTTGCTAGACAATCTTTGGAATCTCTGAGGGGGCAGGGGGAATCTTGAGTTGGAGTCGCAATATTAATTGCCGCTAGCATCAATTTGCAATTTTGATGATACGTACAAACACATACCACGTGAGTGCCATTTGCTTCCGCCACTATAGACTGTTTAAGTCTCAGCTCGGCAAACTCACTGAAACCGACCTTAGCATCTTCATTCGCATGTTTGTACTTCCGATGAAGGACTTTTAGATTTTCGAGTATCATTCGCTTTTGCTCTACTTTCTTCTCTCCATTGATCTTGATGGATATTTTATCTTTCATTCCCGGCATGACGCGACTGTGCTGTAAGTAAAAATTGTGTACCTTCTCGACGGTTGTGGTGGGTAGTGAATGACCTGCTTTCGCAATTGGTGAAGGAAGCACTCCTTTAATTTTTCTCAATCTTTTCGCTCTTGACGCCATGTATCTGGTAGTTCCAAATTCAGAAGCAATTTTCCGCGCACTCCACGACTGTGGATGAACCGTCAAGATTTGCAGGCGCTCACGGTAGTTTTTCAGATCTTTGAATTTCTGCTTCAAACCATCCAACATTTCTTCTAATTCTATTTCTCTCGCAGATCGATACTGCTTAGATGAAGATGGATCAATGTCACTTTGGTCATCTTCCGAATCATAATCCATGGAATAACTGTCGAATTCAGCTTTATCGTCTGGTTCGTCGTTGATTGATATGCCGGAATCATCAAGATGGAAANGGAACCGTCAAAATTTGCAGGCGCTCACGGTAATTTTGAATTTCTGCTTCAAACCATCCAACATTTCTTCTAATTCTATTTCTCTCGCAGATCGATACTGCTTAGATGAAGATGGATCAATGTCACTTTGGTCATCTTCCGAATCATAATCCATGGAAGAACTGTCGAATTNACCTGCTTTCGCAATTGGTGAAGGAAGCACTCCTTTAATTTTTCTCAATCTTTTCGCTCTTGACGCCATGTATCTGGTAGTTCCAAATTCAGAAGCAATTTTCCGCGCACTCCACGACTGTGGAGGAACCGTCAAAATTTGCAGGCGCTCACGGTAATTTTGAATTTCTGCTTCAAACCATCCAACATTTCTTCTAATTCTATTTCTCTCGCAGATCGATACTGCTTAGATGAAGATGGATCAATGTCACTTTGGTCATCTTCCGAATCATAATCCATGGAATAACTGTCGAATTCAGCTTTATCGTCTGGTTCGTCGTTGATTGATATGCCGGAATCATCAAGATGGAAAGATCGACCTGATCTCAGAGAACTGTTCATCACATCCAGATTTGGGT